GGGGGGGGGGGGGGAGGGGGGGCGTACTCTTATGCTTTGCATGCCTCAGCGGTTAGACCATTGACCACGCGTCCTCGAGAGGACGGAGCATTGTTCCCACAGGACCGATCACCGATGGCCAATCGTTCCTTCCTACTTTGCCAAAGGTGGCTCAAAAATGTCTTCCCTAGTCTGTCTATCCTACCGATGTCACTTCCCGCCTTTTCAAACCACTTCCTACTCCCCAGTACCGCTACCGTCCTCTCCTCTCTATTCCATGCCTCAAACATCTCCCTGTACGTCCCTTGTATTCTTCCCAGCTCAGTCATGTACACTTCCCTCTCCTTTTCGTACCACGGACATTCCGCGACTGCATGAACACTGTCTTCGCATTCGAAGCCGCAATGACATTTGAACTTGTCGTCTTCGTCGTCTACCGTCCTATGTCTTCGTCGACGTTCGCGAAGGCCTATGTCCCCGGTCCTGAATTTGACCTTAAGCTTTGTCCCTGCATCCATTGGTCCATGTAGGTAATCCTTGAACCCTATTCCTTCTTTCAACATTCCGTACACTTCTAGACCCTCCTTATCCTTGGATTCTTTCCTTAGATTCTGTTCTTCTCTGTCGGCACAAGCAACAGATATCTTCTTCTTGAACCCCTGTAGACCCTCCGTTTCCAGCGTTTCATCTTCGTCGATGTCCAATCCCTTCCATACGTCCTCTACAACCTTGACCCATTCCGTGGGTTGTCTACCCCTCTTTTTGTTTGCCCACTTCGCCTCCCATACTATTCTCGGCAACCTCTCCTCTCCCATCCCGCACATGCGGTACTGCCATGTCAGCTTCCTTACGTCTCTTCCCGACCGTAGGGATTGGATCCCCAATTCTGCCCTGACTGCTGCATTACTTGTGCGCTTGGAGCATCCTAGGATAATTTTCGCTGCTTTCGTCTGCGCCGCCTCGAGTTCTTTCACTACCTTCTTATTTCCTTCCCATACTTCTCCGGCGTACTCCAGCGGCGGTACGATTACGCTCTTCAAAACCGTCAATTTGATGCGTGTATCAAGGTGCCGGTTTGCGAGTATTGGGTGCAGCTTCCCTGCTCGTGCTTTGCCCTTTTCCGCTACTTTGGACATGTGTGCATTCCACGAGCAATCTTTTGCGATCTCTACTCCGAGGTATGTGTACTGGTCGACTACTGCAATCTCCTCGATCCCCCACTTCCATCTATGTTCTACTGGTTCCTCCCTGCCCTCGTTGCATACCATGACGGCACTCTTCGTAACGTTGGCAGACAATCTCCACTTATCAGTAAACTTCTTCGCCGCGTCAATTTGCAGTTGCAGTCCCTCAGGGGTGTCCGACATACCAACAAAGTCATCCGCAAACAGCATTCCTGACACCGAAGTTTCCGTGTCCCCTACTTTTACTCCCTTCTGGACTGCCTCTACGACTTCCAACAGATCGTTGATGAACACCTGGAACAATGTTGGGGACAGCGTGCAACCTTGTGGGACCCCTTGCTCAATGTCGAAGAATTTAGACAGTTCTCCGTCTAGCATGACCGCGCTTTTCGTACACTCTGTCATCTTCTTCAGCACCCTCCACATTTTCCCCTTGATCCCGTACTTGGACAATTGTTTCCACAGCCCATTTCTCCATACGGTATCGTATGCCTTTTTCACGTCCAGGAAGAAGCAGTACGTCCGCTTGCCCGCCCTCTTTCTACCTTGGATGATT